ACTGTCTCGTTCCTCATTTGCCTCAAAAACACCTCTGCAGGTTTTCTATGCTGCATCTCGTATCAACGGTGCCTCCTCCTTGAAGTGATCCATCCTATTTTGCAGAGCCCTTCTTAAGAACCAAGCCCACCACAAACCTAAAAGCAACGGGTTCTTGTGAGCTGAGGATTGCTTAGGAAATATTAATAGTGGGGTAAGGGCCGTGGTGGCTTCTTTTTCGTAGCAATGCAGAAATATTTTGCAGAAATATATCAATTAGTTCAGTCCATTGGGCTCCGTGACTACAAAAGAGCCCAGTAAATGCCCACAGCCGTATCTGCATAGCTGCATATTGCTCCCTGTTAGCCGAGGGCTTATGGCATGTCTAAGGGAAAAAAAATATCTTGTGGACATGTCTTTCTTCAGCCTCTGAGTCAGATCCTCTTTCACATTAAACAATGTGCCTTGTGGTGCCATGGCCCCAGTCTAATGTTTCTGGAAAGACTATTTTTACTTACGCCAGCAGTGTGATGAGGCACTGTAGCGTATGGCAAGCATGTCAGTAGATAATCAAAACACTGAAATTTCTTTTCCTGCCTTCCCAGCTCTCCTTCTTCACAATCTCTCTATTTTCCTGCTACTTTGGTTCAAAAGCCAGTGGTTTTCGTGACCAATGATAAAATTCACATGTCCAAGGCTTCCTGATGCGGAATTAGTGAACATCATCCGTGTTCTGTATCACAGCACTTCTTGGTGTTGTCTTTCTGAAAACAAAGCCCTGTAGCTGTGTATGGCAGGTAGATTGAAAATTGCCTTTCTTTTTAAAAGTTCATCTCACAAACCATCTTCTTTTACATGAAGAACAGTCCAAAATGTGGTTCAAGTTATAGACACCGTGGCAGCATATGAGCCAGAGACCTGAAAATCTTTCTTGCTTAATGCCATCACTTAATGTGGTCCAAATGAAGAAACAGTCTTATTTTGCTCATCTTGTGATAAACAGCATTTGCTTCGGCAAAGGCGTGCAGCAAAGAGCCTGCAGCTGGAATTCAGTTAATAATTCAGGTGGTAGCTCAGCCCTGGCAAACCCTGGATCACTCTTACACATCTGTATCAGCTCAGCAGATCTAGCAGGGGTAAGAAGTGACACATATTTACGGTGTCACTGAAGTCAATAGACAGATCTCTAAAATACACCCCAGCAGCAGTTCTGTTGAAGGAGAAGGTGATACGTTAACATCGACAGTTTCTAATCTACCACAACTATTCTCTACCTAAACTTTTGCTCTGCTAAAATAGCTATAAACAACATAGACAATAAAACTTGCAGCAAGGTTTCCAGCAGCTCATCCCTTTGTCTTAAAGCAGTATTTTAAAGTATAGATCAGGTCTGAAAGCTCCCTCATCTCTTGTCAAAACTCTCTGGATTTGAACCCTGCAACTAAGGCCATATTTTATAGTGACATCCATTTTTCACATGCCACTGGCTTTAATTGTACGCTATGTCCACCAGACACCTGGTCAGAGGAGCAGGGGTAAGCACATTCTTGTCTCCCACACCCAGTGCTATTGCACACTGGTGGTAAGGGGAATTTTAACATAAATACCCTAAAAAAACAACCTATCTAAAAATCTCTTCTGCTTACACCAGCTGTATAACACTACAGACCAAAACTGACATTAAAGGGCAGGAGCAATCTGCTGCTCCCAGGCGCTCTGTGACCAGTGAAGGCCTTAGAACGGCTCATTAGTGCTTTTTCAATAATGGATTCTGCATCGCAAGATTAATTGCAGCCATGTGCTCTGTCACACCCGCCACAGACTATTTAAGTTAACAATCCAATCAATAACCTTTTTCAAACAAAGGCAGAGATTATCTTGAGGACAGAAAATAAGCAAAGACTCCTTTTTTAAAACAAATGTGAAATTATTTATACAGAGTAAAAGGAATTTTTACACACTTTCCAATTCTTTCCCTTATCTTCACTGTATAGTGGTGGGCTTTTTAATCAATAGCATAATGAAAACCCACGGGGCTCCTGGCTATGTCACATCAGAATTTATTCCATAAACTATTCAGGTTTTAAACAAGTATAAATACATATTACAGATCTAATGACCTATGTCACAAGAACCCCATCCAAATAATGGAAGTTTTACATGCAAAGAAACTGCAAAATTTCCTCCTGCTAAGATTGAATAAGGACCACTGACATCATTAGACAGAATTATTACTGTTATTAGTACAAAATAAGTGAAAAGTAACTTGCAGTTCTAACATAGGATATGATTTTATGGCTATGATATAAAAATTTAGCCCTCATTTGTCTGTCTAAGAGGCATGCTTACAGATATGTATAAAACATATGGGTTAGAACAGGCCCTTAAAATGCAAACCATCCAAGCACACCAAAAGGCTTGGCTCTGCCAGGGCTCAAGGAGCTGCAACTCTCAGGAAAAAACCAAACATTACTAAGGCATGAGGATGCGGAGCTCTTGGCATTTTCCTGGCCCTCCCTATCTTGCAGTGTTAAGGTGTTACAATGCAGGGACATAAGCCTGCCCACTCTAATGAAGGTACTCCAAAGCCTTCAAAAGGGTTTGTGGGGTAAGGATCCAAGTCACCACCTGCCATAGTATCTCTGTGATACAGGGAAGCA